GAGGCGGATAGAAGAGGGATAGAGGAGACGAGAGAGTTGCAGTGGGACAAATTAGTATTGTGTTGCCTGGAATACATTATAACTAAGGGATGATTGGTTGCAGCTTTAAGCTGCTACAGAGAACTGACAGGTTAAATGGGCTAAAATTATTTCTGTTGGTTGTGGAATTTGGGACAGAGAAAGAGCAAGGAAGATTATGTTACTAAAGTCACTGTAAAAGAGGAAGTACATTAGTTGAGAAACTGGCTGAGTGTTATAAAACAGAAGTCAACCCCACCCCCACCTCTGATAACTAAAACTGAAACACCCAGAAAGGCTTGCCTCACCTCATAACCTGTTAGAAGAAATGTGAAAAGTAGTATAACCTGCCGCTTATCTAGAGTCTGTTATAAAGGAGTGGTTAACTGAATGGCTGCTGTGCATCCATTTGGTGCTAACAGCAGGGAATTTGATTCCTGTTCCGGCTGAGGCTGATTCAGAACCTGCCTCCTTCCCATACACTTGGTGCAAGTTGTGACATTGTGGACTAGACCTGTCTTTGGACAGAATAGTCAAGGAGAAAAAAGTGCCACATAATTGGCTTGTGATCAAAGTTGAAGACAACACAATAATAGAGATAGTGCCTACATTGATATGAATTTGGGAAAAATGACAGGAAACAATGGTGAATGGTTGCTTTTCGGACTAGAAGAAAATATACAGAGCCACTGCATTTTGCAATGTATATTATATTTGATTTGGATGTACAAGGCACAAGTTCAAATTTGCAGATGACACAAGACCTGGAAGTATTGTAAAACATGAGGAGGATACTAATAAATCTCAAGATGAGGTAGACTGGCTGGTTGAATAGATGGACGTGTGGCAGACGAAATTTAATAAAGAGGAGTATGAAGTGATATATTTGTTAGGAATAACAAGGATAGGCATTATAGTCTGAAGGTTATAATTCTAGAGGACATGCAGGAATAGAAATCTGGAATTAAATGTTCATAAATCATGAATGTTAATAAGGGCTGATTGAGAAAATGGTTAAAGAGGCTTGTGGAATTTGAGTTTTATAAGTATTGGTAGTGAGTACAAAGGAAGGAAGATATGATCATCTTTATAAAATGCCAGTTCAGCCTCAACAAGAGTATTGCGTTCAGTTCTAGCAATGCATTTTAGGAGGGATCTGGAAAGAGTTTAGAAATGGTGCAGAAAAAGTTTGAGAATGGATGAGAGACTTCAGTTACAATAAGTGATTGGAGAGGTTGCAGCTGTTCTTGGAACTTTAAAAACCCTTTGATGGTAGGCTCATGACAGAGGATAGCACTTGTGGATTTAGTGGAATAGTAGCTGACTGGATGAAAAATTGGCTAAAAAAAAGCAGAGAGTTAGTGTAAAGAATAATTATTCAGTTTGGATGAAGATAACCAATGTTTTTTCAAGTGCTTCAACCACTGATTCATATTTTACATTTACCTAGATTTAGTAAATTTAATTGAATATCACAATTTGCACACAGTACCGAATACTAAGAATGCAGTATTATCCAAAAGGACATTTTAGAAGCTTGCAGCTAGACATGGCAGTTCAGTACCAAATAAACAGGAACACAGATAAACGTGAAGTAATGCACTTTCATAATCAGTTAGAAGAAGTGTGAAAAGTAGTATAACCTGCCAGTTATCCCCCAGTCTGTTATAAAGGAGTGGTTAAATGAAATCCTTTCGTTCACTCTATAATCAACAAGTTACAATTTATTTATTTAACTAACTCTAACGGTGAACAAATTAACAGAACTACTAACAAACAAAAAACAGAAATATCATGAATGCCATTGAATATGAAAAATTAAATACGGCAGAAGAGCAAAAGGATCCACAAATATAGATAACAAATTTAAAGCTGCATTGCATATCAGCAAAACAATTCCAAAAAGCTTTTTCACCTTTTAGCTGTCATTCATTAAAGTTGCTTAAATTCTGTTGTTGACTTTTTTTCTTGGGTAATACTTGGATGTTTTCTTTCAGACCCAGAGAAATAACCACATGATCTCTGAAACAGCAGGTAGGATGATGCAGGAATCAGGGTAACGGCTGTGTGTGGGAATAAAGAATTGGAGATCAGCTTTGATGTTGGAACCGAGACATTGATGTGTGGTTTTGCTCTTGTGTGAAAGTAAACAATTTTTGGTTCTCTTAATGTTTACTTCTTACACACATGCATTCTTTTCTGGTGGTTGTCCCAAGACCTGTGGCAGGGTACAAAGGGTAGGTCCCAAGCCCTAGAAGGAAGTAAGGGGAGGCATTGCAGTGGTGGGATCACATGCACTTGTCCAGGCCCTGTCAGGAGTGTATTGGTAGTATTCTAAGCCCTGATCCTTGTCGTCCTGGGAAGGGGACTACAGGTGCAGGGCACAATCTGATTTTGTGACTGTTCTCTAACCAACCCCAAAAACCTAATGCAAATCCTCACAGTAAGCAGGATGACAGAGTTTGGTGTCAGCCAGCCTGAGTTCAACTCGGAGAAGGCAAAGTAAGAATCTTTATACACATTGCAGATCCCTTGTCCAGTTATCCCGCCCCTTAAATGAATACAAAAACAGATTGACTGACTGACTGACTGACTCTGTGTGTTCTTTATACATGTTTTATAATCATGGTAATTGATTTGTAACCCATATTTTGTGCTCCAATTGCCATAGATGATGAAATGTTGAGAACTGAGGAAGGCAGCATATTGGTCCCTACTATTTCAGTACAGGTAATGAGCACAACAGAACTTGTAACCCTTGCACACATTATATAAACTGAACTACTCATCACATGATTTTGTTGGATTGGAGTATAAGTAACATGCCAGCAGTATTTCCATAAAACAAGAAAGGGAGAAAAGGATGAAATGGAATGAAAAATCAAGGACAATCAAAGGAAGTAGGGCAGTGAGGGGCACAGTAGTTAGAGAAAGGAGGACTGGAATATGGTGAAAGAGAATAAAGAAAGAATGGAGCTGAATTGGGAGAGAGAAAGAGCGGGGGGTGCAGATTGGGATGAGTGAAATGAGAGATTCCATTTCATGGGGGACTGGCATTAGTATGGGGCAGGAAGAAACTCTGTCGTTATGACAGGCAGTGCTCGCACTGGACCGGATTCAAGATCATAGCAGAAAAGATGATAAGGATTTCGCAAAGATTTTAGACTAGTAAATGGGGAAGAGTGGAAAAGTGTATTCAAGTGGAAAGATTGTATAAAAGATAGTTTAATATCAATCGAAAAGAAAAGGGATACAGTAACACTCAGAAATTATGTTTGAGAAACTACAGGTAATGTGTAAACTAAAAGCTGCAAACCAGAGTTTAGAAATGAGAAATGTATGAGTAGAACATTAAAGCAGATTGATAGTTGTGATGTGCAGCTCAAGAAAGCATTCTTTATACAAACGCAGGGAGGAAGAATAAGATGAGTGAGTTGCAAACACAAATTCAGCTTAATGTTTACATGTCATATCCTCTGTTGAGATATGGCTGCAAGGTGAATCAGGATTTGAAGCTAAATATAGCAGGTTTATAAGGTCAATAGAAAAGGTAGGAAAAATAGTAGCAGGGAAGAATAGTCTTGGTAATTAGGTTGAAATCACTTCAGTAATAGAAGGTATGGCCATGAGGCAAGCAAACAATTGTGACAAAGATTTATACCATACTATTAGTATTCTTATTATTCATATTATTTGTTGTTGTTGTTGTTGTTTATTATTGTTGTTGTTGTTATTGTTGTTGTTATTTATTATTGTTGTTGTTGTCGTTATTGTTGTTATTATTATTATTACTATTATTATTAATATTACTATTATTGTTGTTGTTATTATTATTATTACGATTATTATTAATATTACTATTATTGTTATTATTATTATTGAACTTGGATTCCAAAGTAGACATCAATGGATTTTGGTTTTTATTTCTGAGAGAGTGATTATTTTTGTTTCAAGGTTCAGATTTCTTTTTCTAGCTATGGGTCAAAACAGCGTTTCTGGGAAATCGTATGACTTAAGCTAAATGACTAAATAAGCTGCCTGCTAAAATAATTCCTGAAGTATTCACTTAGTTGAGTTTTTACAACCCACAGAAAGGCTAGTGGGAAGCATATTCAGCTTTGAAGAAAATATTCAAACCAGCAAAAGTGCGATTAGTTCTGTCAGTATCTAGGCCATCAGAGCTAAAAAGAAGTCTTGAGCTGTTTTAATACACCAAGTTTAGTAAGCATAAAGGTGCATAAATACCCAGGGCCTGATAAGATGCATCCTAGGTTGCTATGGGAGGCAAGGGAGGAAATTTCTGGGCCCTTGGCAGAGATATTTAACATTTCGCTTGAGGATAGCTAATGTGGTTCCTTATTCAAGAAGGGCGGCAAGGATAGGCCAAGTAATTACAGACCAGTTAGTCTGACTTCATTTGTGGGGAAATTATTAGAAAATATTCTGAGTGACAGGATTAATTGACACTTGGAAAGGCAGAGTTTGATTAGGGTTATTTAGCACAATTTTATTGGAGGGAGATCCTGTTTGACTAATTTAATTGAACGTTTGAAAGGGTGATTAAATATATAGATGAGGGTAGTACAGTTGATGTGGTTTACATGGATTTCAGTAAGGCCTTTGATAAGGCTAAGACGAGAAAGTGTAGACTAAAAAAGAGAGTCTGAACTTTCAGGCATGAAAGTAGGAAGCATTTCTACACCTAGAGGGTGGAGAAGGTGTGGAACTTTCTTCTATAAGGAGTAATGGTGGAAGATTAATTCAGTTGCTGATCAGTTTTAAATTTTAAACCTAAATTGAGACTTTTCTATTAATTTAAAGTTAAGGGTTTCATACTATATTGGTTGATAGAACAGGCTTGACATCCTTCTGCTTCCTCCTGTTTCTCCTCATGTTTGGATGTGGGGTCAAAGAGAGAGGGAGAGAGAATGACTAGGGGTGAAATAGGAGATAGGGAGAGAGAGAATGTGGGGGTGCTGTGAAGTGAAAGAGATAGTGGACAGGTGAAAGAGAGGGTGGTGGGGTTGAAATGGGAGAGAGAAGGGGAGGTAAGGCAAAAGAGAAAATGGGGCAGGAGCGTAAACAATGTGTGTAGGCTACCAAAGTGAGAGAGTCAGATTTGATGGGCAAAGCAAGTGACAAAGAGGGGTATTGAAATGAAAGGGAGAGTGGGCTTGAGACATCAAGCAGAAGTGGGGTGGCGAAGCAAGAGAGAACGTGGAGGGGACAAAATGAAAGAGGGAGAGAGTAAGGAGATTATGCAAGAGAGTGTTGGAGCAGGTGAAGAGAGAAAAGGTCAGAGTAAAACACATGACGGCAGTCAGGCTGAAATGTGGAAGTATGGAAGGGATGAAGAGCAAGAGTGTGTAGAATGAATGAATGATTTTATTGTCACATGTGTTTTACAGTGGAAATACAATGAAATATAGTGAAAAGAAGGGGCGATGCACAAGAGTGAATATATGTGAATGGTGAAACCATATTGGAGGGACAAATGGTAAGAATGGGGTGGGGTGAAAATGAAAGAGGAGAGAACGTGTTGGGCGGAAGTGCAAGAAAAGTCAGGGTGAGTGTGAGGGTGTGTGGGGAATGAATGATAACAGAGTGTGGAGGACGCAGGGCAAGACTGTAGGGGATAAAGCATGAGAGAGTGTGGGGTGCAAAACATGAGACAGCATTGGGGGTGTAGGGCAAGAGTATGGGGAAACATGAGTGTGGGGAATGGGTGGAAAAGGGTAACAAAGTGTGGAGGAGGGAGTGCAAGAGTGTGTGGGGGTGTGAAGAGCACAAGAGTGTAGGATAGGGCAAAGCAGAGGGGAGAGAGTATGATGGTGAGAGAACAGTGTGTGATAAGAGTATGTAGGGAGGCAGAGAGAATGAAAGGTGAAAAGGAGTGCAGGTGGTGAATGTGTGAGGGGAAGGAGTGAGTAGGGTGAATGGGGAGGGTGCATGAGAGTCAGTGAATGAATGAGAGACAGAGTGGAGGGAGAGAGAATGTGGGAGAAGGGTAGAAGGGAAGAGATTTGAGGCAGATGTAGAGTAGTGGTGGAGGGAGGAAGAAAGGGAAAGGAAAAAACAGTCAAAGGGAGCAAAGGAGAGGATAGAGGGATGAGAGATACAATTGGGGAGAGAAGTAGCAGAAGGGGAGAGTACAGTGACACAGGAAAACCAGACCAACAACCCAGGGATGTTGACCGGATTCAGTGACACTGGCCAGGGGCAATGTTGCTGGTGGTGTTCTATCAGGCCCCACAGTGTCCATAAATTTGGAGCTTAGTGTTACTCTGATTATCCTGCTGCTGACAGCAATGGGTTGCTGAGTTGAGATGCTCATGTTGACTGGGTTTTTCAACTGGTCAGCTTCATGTTTTCATTTAGTTATTTTCTTGCCAACTACAGAGTATTGATGAGATGGATTGTGAAACTTGCTCCCTACAAAGTGGTGATTGCAGTGTACCAACAAAAGATGTGGATGTTAACAGTGGGCTGTTGAATTTCCAATCCCCTAGCGTGAGTATTTGGATATATTTTAAAATCTGAACACCCTGCTGAGAATGTGTTGTTTCCCCTTCTATGTGCTCTAGGATGTGATGGGTTTCAATCCCTGTCTTGTGTACTGGGATGTACACTGTTTATACTGGAATGTTCTAATAATTCACAAATTTCCAGTTGCCACATTTTAGACAGCATTCTAAATAATCAAAGATAATTGGAACAATTAATGTGGCTGATGTGTCAGCTGCTTGAGAACCTTTGTGTACCAGTGCTGTGATTTCTTGCAGTTAGATATTTAAAAGCAGTGGCCATTTTCATAACATCTCCCAACTTCACAGGAATAAAAGTTGGGCAGCTGAATAGTGATTTATCAGGATGTTGCATGAACATCATTGTTATTGAACTAAAATTATTCTGTCCACATCCTGATTAATTGTGTAAAGTTAATCTACATCTCTTGTTTGAACTTTCAAAAGTTCACATGTAATTGCAGTCAGTGCGCAGAACACTTTAATGCAAGAAACTCGCTGGCTGTCTGTATACAAAAATAGCATGAGGAAGCTTGGAAGAAAAGACTTTTGCCAATTAAACCATGGTGCTGCTGGAGAATTGCCTTTCTTGTCAGATATTGAGCAGTCTGAATGGCAATATTATTATTATCTGTGGGTGCTGACCCATAACTAAAAGACTAATCTATATGAGTCTTTTTAAAATTATTCTTTAATGGGATGTGCTTTTATTGCCCATCCTTAATTGCCCTTGAACATAGTGGTGAACAGCATTCTTGAACTATTGCAGTCCAAGTGGTACAGATGCACCCATGGAGCTGTTAGTAAGAGGATTCCAGGATATTAACTCAGTAACAGTGAAGGAATAACAGCACAGTTACAAATCAAATGATGTGTGACTTGGAAGAAATCTTGCAGGTGCTGGCATTCCCATGTATTTGCTTCCCTTGTTCTACTACAAAATAGTGATTGTGGGATTGGAAGGTGCTGTCTCAGGAGCCTTAGTGAATTTCTGCAAGGCACTTTGTAGATGATTTACTGCTGCTACTGATCATCAGTGATGGCAGAAGTGGATGCTTGTGGACATGTGCCAATCGAGCTGGACGCTTTATCCTAGGTGGTATCAAGCTTTTCCAGTGTTGTTGAGCTGTACTCATTCAGACAAGTGGGCAGTATTCCATCACAGTCCTGACTTGTGCCTTGTAGGTGGTGGATAGGCTTTAGCAAGTTGGGAGATGAGTTACTCACTGCAGGATTCCTAGCCCATAACCTGCTCCTGTAGCCACAGTATTTAAACGGCTAAGATAACAAGGTGTGAGACGGGAGGAACACAGCAGGCCAGGCAGCATCAGAGGAGCAGGAAAGCTGACGTTTCGGGTCTGGACCCTTCTTCAGAAATGGGAGTGGGGAAGGGGCTCTGAAATAAATAGGGGGGACGGTGATAGAAGGAGGATAGTGGAGCAGATAGGTGGAGAGAAGACGGACAAGTCAAGGAGGCGGGGGAAGCTAGTAAAGGTGAGTGTAGGTAGGAAGTTGGGTTGGGGGTTGGTCAGTGAGGAGGGAGGGGCGGATAGGTGGGAGGGAAGACGGACAAGTCAAGGAGGCATGGTTGAAGCTAGTAGGGGTGAGTGATGGTAGGAAGTGGGGGTGGGGGTTGGTCAGTGAGGTGGGAGAAGCGGATAGGTGGGAGAGAAGACAGACAGGTCAAGGAGGCGGGGACGAGAGGTGGGGCTGGTCTTGGGATGAGGTCGGGGGTGTGGGGAGATTTTGAAGCTCGTAAAGTCCACATTGAGACCATTGGGTTGTAGGGTCCAAGGCGGAATATGAGGTGCTGATCCACCAGTTTTCGGGTGGCATCATTGTGACACTGGAGGAGGCCCGGGTTGGACATGTCATCCAGGGAGTGGGAGGGGGAGTTGAAGTGGTTCATGACTGGGACGTGTTGTCGTTTGTCGCGAACTGAGCGTAGGTGCTCCACAAAGCGGTCTCCGAGCCTCCGCTTGGTTTCCTCGACGTAGAGGAGGCCACATCAGAAACAGCAGATACAACAGATCATATTAGTGGAAGTGCAGGTGAACATCTGTTTAATGTGGAAGGGGCCTGGGATGGAGGTGAGGGGGGGGGAGTCTAGGGGCAGGTGTAGCACCTCCTGCGGTTGCAGGGTAGGGTGCGGGGGGTGGTGGGACTAGTGGGGAGAGTGGAGCGGACAAGGGAGTCACGAAGAGAGTGGTCCCTCCGGAAGGCAGATAAGGGTGGGGAGGGAAATATATCCTTCGTAGAGGGGTCAGATTGCAGGTGGTGGAAGTGGCGGAGAATGATGCGTTGAATCTGGAGGTTAATGGGGTGATACATGAGGACAAGGGGAATTCTGTCTTTGTTTTTATTGTGGGGAGGGGGTGTGAGGGCTGAGGTGCAGGAAAAGCAAGAGATGCAATTAAGGGCGTTTTCGACCACTGCGGGGTGGGGGGTGAAATTGCGGTCATTGAAAAACTAGGACATCTGGGATGTCCGGGAGTGGAAAGCCTCATTGTGGGAGCAGATGCGGCAGAAGCGGAGGAATTGGGAATAGGGGATCGCATTCTTGCAGGAAGGTGGGTGAGAGGAGGTGAAGTCTAGGTAGCTGTGGGAGTCGGTGGGTTTGAAATAGATATCAGTTTCCAGGTGGTTACCAGAGATGGAGACAGAGAGGTCCAGGAAGGAAAGAGAGGTATCAGAGATGGTCCAGGTGAACTTAAGCTTGGGGTGGAAGGTGGTAGTAAAGTGGATGAACTGTTCGAGCTCCTCGTGGGAGCACGAGGTGGCGCCGATACAGTCATCGATGTAACGGAGGAAGAGATGGGGTATAGTGCCAGTGTATCTGTGGAAGAGGGACTGTTCCACATAGCCTACAAAGAGGCAGGCATAGCTTGGGCCCATGCGGGTACCCACGGCCACCCCTTTTGTCTGTAGGAAGTGGAAGGTGTTGAAGGAGAAGTTGTTAAGGGTAAGGACGAGTTCGGTTAGGCGGATAAGGGGGTCGGTGGAGGGGGACTGGTTGGGCATGCGGGAGAGGAAGAAGCAGAGGGCTTTTAGGCCATCTGCATGGGGAATGCAAGAATATAGGGATTGGACGTCCATGGTGAAGATGAGGTGTTGAGGGCCAGGGAATCGAAGTTTTGGAGGAGCAATCTCCTTTCTTTCCTCTCTCAATAACTAGGGGTAGTTACCATCAGGCCCTGCAACTTGTCCACCTTCATGCTCTTCGAGAGACCCAACACCACTTCTTTCTTGATCTCAAAATGCCCTAGCATATTTGCATGCTCCACACATCTCGTTATCCTCCATATCCTTCTCCTGTGTGAATACTGACACAAAGTACTCATTTAGGATTTCACCCACATCCTCTCCCTCCAAACACAAATCCCCTCCTTCATCCTTGAATGGTCCTATCTTCTCCCAAGTTATCTTCTTGTTTTTAATGTCTTGGGATTCTCTTTAACCCTACTTGCCTAGGTCATTTCATGGCCCCATCTTGCTGTTCTAATTCTCTGCTTGAGTTCTTTCCAGCTTTTTTTTAATTTTCCTAATGGGCTATGCCCAATATTAGCTTCCTAAACTTTACATTCCTTTTGACTAAATTCATAACCTCCCTTGTTATCCAAGGGTTCATTACCTTGCCATCCTTGTCCTTCCTCATTACTGGAACATGCTAATCCTGAACTCTCATCAGCAAGTCTTTAAACAGCTCCCACATGTCAAGTGTAGACTTGCCTGATAACAGCTCCTCCCAATTAATACTCCCTAATTCCTGCCAAATACTGAAGTTATATGCCCTCCCTCAGTTTAGTACGTTACGACAAGTTCTTGACTTTATCCTTATTCATAGCAATCTTAAAACCTAAGGAGTTTCAGTCACAATTTCCAAAGTGCTCTCCCAGTGGAAGGTCAGTCACCTGGCCAGGCTCATTAGCCAATACAAGGTCCATTATGGCCCCTCCTCTAGTTGGGCTATCCACATACTGTTTCAAGACATGCTCTTGGATGCACTTAACAAATTCTGCCCCGTCCATGTCTCTTCCTGTAAAGAAGTCCCAGTTACTATTAGGGAAATTAAAGTGACTCACTATGACAATTCTTTTTGTTGCATCTTTCCATAACCTGCCTACATATTTGTTCCTCAATGTCTCGGTGGCTGTTGTGGGGCCTATAGTATAACTACCACAGTACAGTTCAAATATGGCAGTTCACATCTTGCAATACAGGTCCGTTTGATTATACTACATGGTACTCTTGAGTACCTTACACTACTTACAATGCAGATTACATCTACATTTGCATTACATTTGTTTTTCTCTAGTGTACAACCAGACCAATCTGACACTAGTCTAAGGGTGTACAATGATGGGCACCCTTAAATTTTAGCCTTTCTTCATTGAACCTTTGCAAAGGCTGCACCAAACATTCGTCTATCCTCTTGTTCTGAAGTTTAGAATGCGCCAGAGAGCAACAGTCATAGACAGCTCCTCACTTTGAAACAGGAGGAAGACCACAAATGAGTTGATGTTGATTTAATTCTTTGTACACTTTTTGAAGCAGTTCACAAAACACAGAGTCTTGTGTTATGAAGCTATTTAGGATGAACCTTGACCAAAACAAAAACTATCACACTTTTACTCTTTGCAAATGTGCTTTTCAAGAAGAGATGTGACAGTCTGTTCCTCACTCCAGAGGCATCCAGTGTTGACCGTCTGCTTGGGGAACCATCCGACAGAACTCATCATTTTCCTTTCCACGATGCATCAGGATGTTGCATGCAGGCCACTATTTGATTGGATTTGCGCCACAGGTTGTTTCTCACACACAAGTTTTTCTATGAAGGATGGGTGATTTGATATGGTCTGACTGAACAGAATGTTCCATGGCAGATAATTTTTTTGCAAGATCAGGGACAATAGAACTTTAGAACATTGTGACATTTGGTCATCCCATTCCAATAAAACAACCATACACAAAGTCGGTAATTAGATCGAGGGTGATTTTGGATACATTGTTTTCCCTCTTCGTCTGAAGATTTTTCTGTCATGTCTCTGTGGGTAAAGTCCATTTTCAATCTCTAGGCAAAGTAGAAGAATAGCTTGGGTAATTGTCATCACAGAATTAGAGATGCACCATGATCAACAACACTAAGAGTATCTTGCAGCAATTGACTGAGTTCCAAGAGGGACCAACATTCCCATATTCTCTGTTTCTATTGACTTCAGCTATGTACACCTCCTTGTTCTTGATGCATGCTACAGTCCCTCCAAATCATATTTCCCAGCACTTTCCGACAGCCTGATCTGATAGTGATGGGGACAAAGGATTGATAGACCAAGCTTTCAAGAAGATGGCCTTACTTTTGTTATGATCTGTGCTAGCTCCTCAGGCCAATTTAGTTAGCCATAGATGCTGCTCAACCTGTAGACCGAAAACTGTTCTGAGCACATTAAAGTGATGCCTCCTTTCTAAAAGGAGACCCTAAACTGAACGTCTCCAATGCCTGGGTCGTTGCTTCTTTGTGAACTCTTAGAGTCATACAGCACAGAAACAGACCTTTCGGTCCAACCAGTCCATGCCGAACATAATCCCAAACTAAACTAGCTCCACCTGCCTGCTCCTGGCCCATATTCCTCCAAACCTTTCATATTCATATATCCATCCAAATGTCTTTTAAACATATTAATTCTACCCGCGTCCACCATTTCCTCAGGAGGTTCATTCCACACGCAAACCACCCTCTGTGTAAAAATTTTGTCTCTTATGTCTTTTTTAAATCTCTCTCCTCTCACCTTAAAAATGTGCCCCCTGGTCTTGAAATTCCCCAACTTAGGGAAAAGACAACTACCATCAACTCTATCTGTACCTTTCATTATTTTATAAACTTCTATCAGACCACCTCTCAATCTCCTGTGCTCCAGTGAAAAAAGTCCCAGCCTATCCAGCCTTTCCCTATAACTTCTTAATAAACTCAGCAAAAAGGTTTGATACAAGACATGAGAGAGATGACAGCTTTGCTTGATTCTGATTTTGTCAGAAAACCTTCCAATATCCAAGCTGTGAGGAAAGCCATATCATTGAATTTTTGTATAGTATTTGGATCCAATTGCAGATTCTCTCCACAAAGTCGACTTTGGAAGGCACATGCATCATTTATTTATATGTGTGAAATTCTGGCATAACCCTTCTAGTTGAAGCTGATTAGGCAGATGACCTTTCTCATGCGTACACAATTTTCCTATTGGAAAATTTGCCATCCAAAAGCAGTTTCAGATTCAAAGAAGGCAACTGACGTAATGTCAATCTCAACATCACACATGAGATAGGGAGAGTTTGCCATTTAAACTGCAATCACTTTTGGGTTGCGTGTATTCAACTGCTGGGCGGGAGCGAGAAAATGTGGACATCAGTCTCTTTCATGGTGCAACATGTTTGTGGTTCGAGTGAGTTTCATAGGAACCATTGTAATGCACAAATCTCTCTGGCCCTGAAGCCTCGGTAAGGAATACAACAGATGCTTCCACAAACTGATACTGTGTATTCTATCTTGTAGCTCAGCAGCAGTATGATGAGTTTGTACAGCAATGCTGATTTTGGATGTGTTGATGTGAGAGGCAGTATCACTTTCTCACTGCATTATGATGAGAATGGTCACGAGTTCTACATTTTCGTGGTGCAATGTGATGATCTTGCTGGAGTCAAGAAAAATCGTTCTGATCCGTAAGTACAAAGTCTTCAGGGAAATGTAATTTTTACAAAAATTCACTGATTTCCACAGGTGCCTGCTATTTTTGATGAGATGGTGGCATCTACACCAGCACAAAGTGAAACTGTGATACGTTTCAAAAATCACTACATGTGTTTGTGTCCATGTCCAAATATGCATGTGAAACACGGCATTTTACTTTGATTCGAAGATTTCCAAATATAGTACTTAGTGATTTTATGAACTTGATCCTTTGACAGCTATGTGAAGAGCTATCTTCTTCCAGATAAATCATCCCGAAGCAAACGTAAAACATCAGTGAAGAAGAAAACCCTGAATCCTACATTCAATGAGAAATTAAAGGTAAGATACATGATGTATCTTTACTTTCATACACCTGTTAATAACACATACATAAATGCCATGACATTTACTTGATATATGATTGACACATCCCAACATATTCATCATTGAAGCCGAAACATCACATGGCATATATTTACTTAAGCACCAAGACCATCAACTTCCACCTCCATGACGTTGCCACATTCGGCCCCTGACTCAGCCAGTCACTATTGAATGTTTCACCCTTGTCTTTGGGAAAACAAAACTTGAATATTGCTGTAAAAAGAAGCATTTAGCCAAAGCTTTATGTTTTGCACTGATCAGGTCAGGCACAGGAATACCATATTTTGAACAATCAAAACAATTTGTACCATGGAAGAAAAGGGATTTTTTTTTCACAAGTCAACTCTGTTTGGCCAAGAAGTTGTCATGGAGAAAACAACAAAAACATAAGCTTCCCATGCCTTCCGGTAATTAAAAAAGCTGCAAGGCTTGAAAATATTCCTATTGTTCACCAAGTTAATCCATAAAACCATATGAGGTGGAAATAGAAGTAGCCCATTTGGCCTGTCAAGTCTGGTCAGCCATTTGATGAGATCATGGCAGTCTCTCTAACAGGCGCAACCTACTCAGCATCTCCTCATACACAATGCCTTGGAACAGCCCAATGAATCTTCTCTTGCCTACCTCCAATGCCAGTATATCTTTCTTTAGATAAAAGGACCAGAACTGATCACCTTCCATCATTGCCTCCCCCTCTCTTTATTTATTTCAGAGTCACCTTCCCCTCCCCTATTTCTGAAGAAGGGTCCAAACCCGAAACATCAGTTTTCCTGCTCCTCTGATGCTGCCTGGCCTGCTGTGTTCATCCAGCTCTACACCTTGTTATCTCAGACTCCAGCATCGGCAGTTCCTACTATCTCTGCTCAGTCTTCTGGGTGCAGTCTGACTTATGCATGTATAGTTTAAAGAAGACATCCCTATTTTTATACTCCATTCCTTTTCATATAAAAACTAACATTCCATTGACCTTCCATATTAGCCACTGAACTTGAATGTCAGTGATTCTTGAGCAAAGACCCCCAAAGCTATCTACAGTGCTACTTTCTGCAGACTTTCTCTGTTTAAGAATTATTCAGTTTCTCTCTTCTTCCTGCCAAAGTGCATAACCTCACATTTTCCAATATTATTTTCCATCTGCTAAAGTTTTCATCCACTCATTTAATTTGTCTGCATCCCTCTTTAAACTTCTTGTGTCATCCTCACCTCTTGCCTTCCCACCCAATTTTGTGTCATCTGCAAACTTGGCAACTGTACATTCACTTTCCTCATCCAGGTCATTAATATATGTTTTAAATAATTGTGGCCCCAGCATTGATAACTGTGGCTCCTTCACTAGTTACAGGTTGCCATCTGAAAATATTCCTTTTTCCTGAACACACTGTCTTCAGTTGGTTGGCCAATCTCTATTTGTACCCCCAACTTCATGGGCAGTTATCTTTTTAAGTAATTGCATGTGCTGTGCCTTTATTGAATGCCTTTTAGAAATCCAAATATATTACATCTACTTGTAACCCTTTATCTATCCTGCTTGTTACATCTTCAAAAATTTCTAATAAATTTATCAGGCATGATTTACCCTTACCCAGGTATGTCCTGTATGTAAAAAGCAGGACAATTCCAACCCGGCCAATTCCCAGCCCACCAGTCTACTCCTGATCAGCAGTAAAATAATGGAAGATGTCATCAACAGTGCTATCAAGCAGCACCTGCTCAGCAATATTCTGCTCAGTGATGCCCAGTCTGGGTTCTGCCAGGGCCACTCAGCTCCTGACTTCATTATAGCCTTGGTCCAAACATGAACAAAAGAACTGAATTCCAGAGGTGAGGTGAGAGTGATAGCCCTTGACATCAATGCTACGTTCGACCAAGTGTGGCATCAAAGAGCCTGAGCAAAACTAGAATCAATGGGTACAAACTCCAGTGGTTGGAGACATATCTGACACATAGAGAGTTGGTCATGGTGGTTGGAGGTCAGTCATCTCAGCTCCAGGACATCTCTGCAGAAGTTCCTCAGGGTGGTGTCCCAGGCCCAACCATCTTCAGCTGCTTCGTCAATGACCTTCTCTCCATCGTAAGGTCAGAAGTGGGATGTTTGCCAATGATGGCATAACGTTCAGCACCATTCGCGACTCTTCAGATACTGAAGCAATCTCTGTAAAATGCAACAAGATCTGGACAATATCCCAGCTTGGGCTGACAAGTGGCAAGTAATATTTGCACCCCACAAATGCCAAGCTATGGCCATCACCAATAAGAGATAATCTAACCACTGCCCCTTGACATTCAATGGTGTTGCCATCACTGAATCCCCCACTATCAATATCTTTGGGGTTGCCATTAAACAGAAACTCAATTGGACTTACCGCATAAAAATAGTGGCTGCAAGAGCAGGTAAGAGGTTAGGAATATAGCAGTGAGTAACTTACCTCCTTCCCAAAGCCTGTCCACCATCTACAAGGTACAAGTCAGGAGTGTGATGGAATACTCCCCATTTGCTTGGATGAGTGCAGCCCCAACAACACTCAAGAAGCTTGACACCATCCAGAACAAAGCAGCCTACTTGACTGGCACCACAAGCATCCACTCCCTCCAAAACTGACACTAAGTCGCAGCAGTGTGTGCTCTCTACAAAATGCACTGCAGAAATTCACCAAAGATCCTCAGATAGCACCTTCCAAACCCACAACCACTTCCATCTAGAAGGACAAGGACAGCAGATATATGGGAATACCACCACCTTAAACTTCCCCTCCAAACCACTCACTGACTTGGAAATATATTGCTGTTCCTTTACTGTTGCTGGGTCAAAAATTTGTTTTCTATTAATTTCTGGGATGTGGGCATTGCTGGCTGGCCAGCATTTCTTGCCCATCCCTAGTTGCCCTTGAGAAAGTAGTGGTGAGCTGCCTTCTTGAACTGCTGTAGGTTGACCCACAATGCTATTAGGGAGGGAATTCCAGGACTTTGACCCAGCGACAAATCCTGGAATTCCCTCCTTAATGGCATTGTGGGTCAATCCACAGCAGGTGGACTGCAGCAGTTCAAGAAGGCTGCTCACTACCACCTTCTCAAGGGCAACTAGGAATGAGCAATAAATGCTGGCTAGCCAGGCAGTGATGCCAACATCCCACAAAATGAATAATTTTTAAAAAAATCATGGTGACCCTGCTTGATCATATTGCACATTTCTAAATGCTCTAGTATTACATTGTCTATAATAGACTTTAGCATTCTCCCAATAACCGACATTAAGGTCTATATTTCCTTTTTTGTTTGGTCTCCTTCACTGGTTGAATAAGTGTGTTAAATTGGCAATTTTCCCATCATTGGGACCTTTCCAGAATCTAAGGACTCTTGGAAGATTACAACCAGTGCATCCACTTATTCTGTAGTTACTTCCTTTCATTATCCTGGAAGCAAACTGTCAGGTCCAGGGAACTTGGCAGTTACTGCCAATATTTTCACTGGTACATTTTCTCTAGTGATAGTTATTGTATTTATTTCCTTTAACCATACTTATTCCATCCATTACTAACAAAGGTTCCACCCTATCCACCACACTTTCCTTCTTGCCTGTCCTTTTGAAAAGTGATGTGTCCCTGAATATTTAGTTCCCAGTCTGATCCCCTTGTCTCTATAATGGCTATAAGATAATATCTATTCACCTCTATATGTGCCATTGTGAAAAAGGCTTTAAACTACTTTTTGTGGGGGTTGGATGGAGTTCTGGTGAAGGGATATGCAGACTTACAAAGCAAAAGGATATGGCAGCATTGGAGAGCAACTTTTATGTAATGATACCCAGAGTGAATCAGGAAAGAATACAAATAAGCCAATAAAATTAAGTAGCACTCCTTTTCTCCCACAGTAAAAATTATGACTATTTTGCAATTTTACATTTTTGCATCTGTCTTAATACAAGTTGAAAAAAATTGGCAACATGACTAACTTTTCAGCACTATATAATCTCCTTGCTTTTGTTATCTCCAGGTTTGACTATTCTAATGCTTTCCTGTTTACAATGCTCCTTTTAAATGCTGTGTCATTTTGGTTATGTTAAGGGCACAGTAAAAATCCAAGTTATCATTGTTGGTGTGTACATCAAATATATACACTGATATTTATGTGACTCACACCTTCATTTACATTGTGATTACACTCTGCCACCTTGATACATATGTACCCAACATGTAAATGTCAGCCTGTGCCTCATATTGTAATATAAAAGATACCCCAATACATATCCAGATGCACATGACATAATATATATTCCTTGACACACATCTGCATATGCCATAATATCCTAAGATACACACATTCAATATATCATTTGACAGCTACACAGCATATGTATCTTAACGCGAGTACATGAATACAAACCATGACAGACCCAGGATCACGCTACAAGCTCCTGCAACTATAGTGGCATTTAGTTCTTTGGCACAACTCTGGTTAAATATTCACCAATCCATCTGTCTACTAAAAGTTGTACTGTGCATATTATTGGAACAATACCTTTGCTCACCGTCTCCTCATAAATTATTCTTTTTCTTGCTAAAGTACAAAATGGAAAAAGTTGAACTGCAGAGTCGAACTCTGAACCTCTCCGTGTGGCACAGTGATCACTTTGGCCACAATCTCTTCCTGGGAGAGGTGGAGATCCAATTGGAATCATGGGATTGGAGCAATATCAAACCTACATCCTACATCCTACAGCCACGTGTAAGATATTGTAATTTTCCTGCACATATTCACCGACTGACTGCTGTCCGGTTACATATTTATGCAGCAATTTTTACATTAAAGGGATTGAGAAACAGACATTCATTGCAATAAAAGCCGCTCCCTCAAGTAGAGCAGGAATGAAGTATACTGTCGTGAGTATTCTGACAGTGACTGATGCTGAGACCACGTGTTGAAAAGCAATCAATGTTCATAGTCCACGGTGATATTCTTGGCCTCTAAGTATATTACGCAGTTGATTAAAGTGTACAAAATGAATGTAATTAATTGAAAAGATGGAAAAATAAGCATGATATTTTGGTTTATTTATGACGAGTCACATTCATCAGCAATATTTGTAAAGATAGCCATTAGCTCAGTATATATAAATGATCTCTAATTTTCCTGCAGTAGTGAATGACCTTCCACCATTCAAGCCATCGATCTTGCTGATTACTCATACCCAATTTCCTGTGCTTCTAATCTGAATACGTCACACTGAGTGGAGAATGGGGAGTGAGGGAGGCAATGACATTCTAATGTACTTGCTGCTCCATTCGTCAATCTCTTGCTATTTATCACTCAATAAGTTCACAAAATTACATAACACTGAAAGAAAAAGTCAAATAATCTAGATGTATATCCACATTGCAAAAAAACATTTTTTTAATTGTTACAGTAATGCTGGAATTGCTTTATGAAGAAGAGTCATATTCGGGGCCTTGAAACATTAACTCTGTTTCTCTCTCCATAGGATGCTGTCAGACCTTCTAAGTTTCTATAACTCCATTCCCGTCCAGTGAGAATTGTGCTACTCATACAAGGTGGAAAAAGATAGGAGGTTACTTAAAAACTCATAACCAGAATAGTGTTAGAAAAAGGTTTCCCAATTTCACTGAAGATTATAATCAATTAATTCAAAATTATTGTTTCACATGACTTAACTTCCAACTATCCTGGTGTTTAGTTTAAAGCATCAGTCTGTGAATCACCCGAGCATGTTCCATAGAATCACCCCACTCCAGTATTGCCCTGGAATGTATCTAAAACTTGCTGTTGCTGAGGCTAGTTTTACCCTTGGGTGTATACACATCCCTTTGGGACATAGATAGGGTGAATAGGAATCTAGGGGTAAATTCGTGATCTATAATGAAGTTCATTTTAAAAAAGCTGATATCTAATTGAAATTATAATTTTAAAAAAACATGGTTTAGTTGGTATTACTCTCACCTGAGTGAGAAGGATACAACCTCCACCCCAGACTTGTATATAAACTTCCAGACTGATGTTCCAGTGTAGATCATAAGACAATAAGACATTTGAGCAGAATTAAGCCATTCAGCCCATCGAATCTGATCTGTTGTTCTATTGTGGCTGATATGTTTCTCAACCCCATTCTCCTGCTTTCTCCTTGTAAACCTTGATCCCTTTACAAATCAAGAACCTATTTATCTCTGTCTTAAAGACACGCAATGACATGGCCTCCATAGCCTTCTGCAGTAATGAGTTGCATAACTTCACCACTCTCTGGTTGTAGAAATTGCTCCTCATTTCAATTCTAAAAGGTCGTCCCTTCACTCTGAGGCAATACCCTCAGGTCCTGTTCTTTCCTACCAGTGGAAACACCTTCTCCACGTCCACTCTATCCAGACCTCTCAGTATTCTGTAAGTCTCAGTGAGATCCCCCTCATCCTTCTAAGCTCCATCGAGTACAGACAGAGTCCTCAACTGCTCCTTGCATGATAAGCCCTTCAGGCCTGGGATCATTCTTGAGAACCTCCTCTAGACCCTCTCAAATGTCAGCACATCTTTCCTTAGATACAGGGCCCAAAACTGCTCATAGTATTCTAAAAGCAGCCCGACCAGTCTCTGCAATACATCCCTGCTCTTGCATTTTGAGATGGCTAGAATACATGCCAACATTACATGTGCTTTCCTAACTGCCAACTGAACCTGCATGTTAACCTTAAGAGAATCCTGAACTAGGACTCCTAAGTCCCTTTGTGCTTCCGATTTACAAAACCTTTCCCTATTTGGAAAATAGTCACAGAATAGTCACAGTGCTGATCGAGGTCAGTGGCCCGTTGAGTCTGCACCGACCCTCCAAAGGGCATTCCACCCCCCGCCCTCACCCCATAATCCTGCTTTTACCATAACTGACCCACCTAGCCTGCACAAACCCTGACACTATGGGGCAATTTAGCATGGCCAATCCACTTTGGATTGTGGGAGGAAACTGGAGCACCTGGAGGAAACTCACATAATACTCGGGAAGAATATGCAAACTCACACAGACAGCCACCCAAAGCTGGAATCAGACCCAGGTTCCTGCCAATGTGAAGCAACAATGCTAACCACTATTTCATCAAGCCACCCATAGTCTATGCCTCTATTCTTCCTACCAAAGTGCATAACTTCAAACTTTGCCACATTGTATTCCATCTGCCACTTCTTAGCCCCCTTTACTCCCTGTCCAAGACCTTCTGCAGCTCCCTGCTTCCTCAATACTACCTACCCCTCTGCCTATCTTTGTGTCATCTGCAAACTTAGCAACAATGTCGTCAGTTCCTTCATTGAAATCGTTAATGTATCATGTGAATAGTTGTGGTCTCTGACCCTTCCAGTCACCAGCTGCCATCCTGAAAAAGACCCCTTTATCTAGTCAGTCAAACCTGTCTAGCCATGTCCCTCACACCATGGGCTCTTACCTTATTTAGCTGCTTCCTGTGCATCACCTTGTCAAAGGCCTTCCGGAAATCAAATTAGATCATGTCCACCAACTCTCCTTTGTTTAATTTGTTCATTACTTCTTCAAAGAATTCTGACAGGTTTATATGGCATGACCTCCCCTTGAAGCCGTGTTGACTCTGCACTATTTTACCATGCACTTCCAAGTACTCCACAATCCCATCCTTAATAATGGATTCTAAAATCTTACGAACAACTGAGGACAGGCTAACCAACCTGTAATTTCCCATCTTCTGCCTCCATCCCCTCATAAACAGGGGTGTTATATTATCCACTTTCCAGTACTCTGGGACCCTCCCTGATTGCAGTGATTCCTGAAGAATGGACTATATTCCGGGGTTCTGAAGGAGATAGATGGTGTAAGCATCATCTCTTTACACCATCTATCTCCTTCAGAACCCCGGAATGTAGTCCATCCAGTCCGGGTACTTATCCATTTTCTCCACTATTTGTTCCCTATTACTACTTCTCAACCCTCATTTTCAGCTGTCCAACTCTTGCATCTCTCTTTCCTTTTGTATATCTAAAAAAGCTCTTGCAATCTTCTTATATATTACTAGCTAGCTTATCCTTATAGTTTATCTTCTACCCTCTTGTTGCTGTTTTAGTTGACCTTTGCTGGTTTTTAACAGCTTCCCAATCCTCCGACTTTCCACTAATCTTCACCACATTGTATACTTTTTCTTTTGTTTTTATGCTGTCCCTGACTTCTCTTGTCATCCATGGTTACCTTGTCCTTCCCTTAGAGTTTTTTGTTTTTATTCTTCCTTGGGATGAATTTCTATTGTGCTTCCCAAATTACCCCCCAGAAACTGCTGCCATTGCTGCTCCACCGTCTTCTCTGCTTGGCTCCCCTTCCAATCAACTCTGGCCAGCTCCTCCCTCATGTCTTTGTAGTTAACCTTACTCAAATGTAGTATCATTACATCTGATTCTAACTTCTCCCTCTCAGGCTGCAGTGAGTTATATAATAATGTGGTCACTGCCCCCTAGGGGTTCCTTCACCTTAAGCTCCACAATCAAGTTTGCCTCATTACACAGTTGCACTGAGCAGTGTTGAACTGTTCAAATCTGAGACATTAAACCAAGTTTTGCCCTCTCAGGTGAACCCAAATGACCCACTCATTTGAAAAACAGCAGGAAAGTTACTTCTGGCATCCTAGCCAATATTCATCCCCCTATAAACATCAAGGAAACCAACAAAAGGGGAAAACAAAAACAGGAAAATCCTACATCTCTTCACCAATCTACCTGCTGGAAGTGCACCTCTCCATGACTATACTGGTAGGAAGGACTGCTGCTCAATTCTGGTGGAGATTAAATGTATTCACATTTAGTATACTTTTCATCATGTTGAGTGACAATACTACCATGTTTTTGTAGAGATCTGCAACTCGCAACTGGAAATCCATTAAATGCTATGGGCCATCAGGAGCAGCAGAATTTTATTTAACCACAATCTATAACTTCATAGCCCAAAAGATCCCCTTCTCTACCATTACCATCAAACTGGGAAGGCAACCCTGATTCAATAAAGAGGCCAAGAAGGCATGCCAAAAAATAGACACACGTAAAACTGAGGTGTCAATATCATAAGATTGCATGCGTGCATAAACAACATGCTGTAGACAGAGCTAAGTGATCCAACCGATCAGATCAGATCTAAGCACTGCAGTCCTCCCACATCCTCTGAATGGTGGTGAACAATTAAACAACTAAATGGAGACGACTTCACAAATATTACCTTGCTCAATGATTAGTGAGCCCGGCACATTGGTGCAAATGACAAGGCTGAGCCATTTGCAATGATCTTCAGCCAGAAGTGTCAAATGAATGGCCCACTTAAACCTCTTCCCGAGGTCCCAGGTTTTCATTTCATTCACTCCACATGATATCAAAGGATGACTGAAGACACTGGACACTGCAAATGCTTTGAGCCTGAACAACATTCCAGCAACAGAACTGAAGACTTGTTCTTCAAAATTAACTGTGTCCCTAGATTAGCTGTTCCAATATAGCTACAATATTATCAAGCAATGTGAAAAAAACCCAAGTATGACCTGTTTACAAAAGGCCAATAACCACACCATTAGTCTACTAATGATTTTATCAGCAAAGTGATGGAAGATGTCACTGGTAGTGCTATCACCTGGTACTGACTCAGCGGTAACTTGTTCACTGATGTTTGGTTTGAGTTCCATTGGGATCACTTAGCTCCTGACCCCATTACATCCCTGACCAAAACATGGACC